TGTCTGTCTGTCTGTCTGTCTGTCTGTCTGTCTGTCTGTCTGTCTGTCTGTCTGTATGTCTGTCTGTCAGTCTATGTGACTGTCTGTCTGTCTGTTTCCCAGCTCTAAATGGCCCTTGCTGTCTCCATGTGCTTCTTCTTTTTCTGAAACAACTGTATTTAAAAACTAGCGTTGGAATAACGCTGTACGAACGGGCGGAGTTCTTCCCGACCAAGTCCAAGTCTGTTTAAGACACTGTGTCTTTGTCCCAGGGAGATTGCAGTTTTTCGGCAACACGATGATAGGAGGGGGGGGGGGTCTCGGGGAAAGAAGAAGAAGAAGAACCTAAAAAGAAAAGGAGGAAGAAGAATTGGAGAAGATCAGAATCGAAGAAGAAGAAGAGGAAGAAGAAGAGGAGGAAGAAGAAGAAGAAGAAGAAGAAGAAGAAGAAGAAGAAGAAGAAGAAGGTGGAGGAGGAGGAGGAGGAGGAGGAGGAGGAGGAGGACCTAACACAGAAGAAAAAAACAAGCAGAAGAAGAAGAAGAGGGAGCTGCAACAACAGCGATAAGCACAAGAACGATAAGACAACGCCTGCACAGGCGGCAACGAGAACACAACCATGTCAATATACACACATGCACGTGGGTGGTTGGTAGGGGTTCTGGTTTGGTTTGTTCCTTCTTTCCTATCAAACAACTATCGTCTTTATCTCTCCTTTTCTTTTATGGTTTCTACTCTCTTGTAACACCTCTAATCCTCGGTACTTATATTATGACCCAACTGTTTTGCAAGTGCCGTAAAACGCTTACTAAAGCAAAAACACATACGTTGAGCTGAAATTCAAATTTTGCTACACCCACGCAATTGCGTGCAAGGTATCATAGTTTGCTATTCGCACGCAATTGTGTGTATTACATATAGAGACATTGGGTCTTTTCGCACAGTGTCAGGTTCGGACTGTCGTACCGAAATGGAAGCAGGGACATTGAATCTACAAGAAATGCTACTATTGAGAGATTTGACGGAAAGCCACCCAGAGTTGCCTTCCATTATGTTGCTATGCAACCTCGTGTTTTCTGCTTTTCTGTGAGGTAGGTTTCAGCTGAAAATCTGAGGAATCTAAAAAGTTTGAAAATGAAAAGAACAGTTCTACAGGCTGCATGGAGGTTTCTGAACTTCTTACCTCAAGAATAAGGTACAAGAGTGAAGACTCAGGTGATTAATCAATTCTTATCCTCTCGCCTAAGCACGGTTTAGAAACACGACAGTTAAAGGGGAAACATAATTCTTGGGGGGGGGGGGGGCAAACTTAAAAAAGAGGGAAATTAACGGAATTGCGTGCCTATAAGCTAAGTATGATTCCTTGCGCGCAATTACGTGTGTATAGCAAAAAAGAAAAAAATGTTGATGCAAGCAAGTGCGTGTGTATAGGAAAAGATGTGTTGGTGCACGCAATTGCAGCGTGCGTACAGCAAAAAAAAAGTGTTGAATTGGGTGAAAAAAATGTGTTAAATTAGTACACGTATAGACACTCCCGTACAGGTGGAGTGTGTAGGTTTCCTTCCATTGACCGCTCCGCGAGCTGTTGTGTGGCTGTTTGCTCGCTGTGTAGAACTGTGTAGATCTAGTGTGTGTGT